ACCAGAGATAAGTAGGAACACTTACAAAGCAGCTTGCTTATTAAGAAGCCCCAACAATCTGAATGTGTATGGACTTATAAAATAGCTCCAGAATTCATGAAGAAAATTGATAGTACTGAAAGGAGAAATTAACAAATCCAAAATTACAGTTGCAGATATCAAGGCTTTTGTTTGAGTAATTGATAAAAACAGGAAATCAGTAATGATACAAGAAATATGAACAATAGAACTAATGAGCTTGACTTAAATGTTATAGAACACTTTATATAACAATAGCAGATTACATATTCTTTTCAAGTGCACATAGAATATTTATCAAGACAGACCATGTCCATTGAAAAGGATCAAAATTATACAGAGTATGTTTTCTGATTAGAATGGCATTAAATTTAGAAATCAATAACCAAAAAATATCTGGAGTAATCCCCCAATATTAGGAAACTAAATGACATACATAATTTATAGATTAAAAAAGAAATCATGAGAGAAATTAGAAAATGTTTTCAACTAAATTAAAACACAAGACATCAAAATTGTTTAAAAAAAATGCTTAGAGGAAAATTTACATCTTTAAAAAAAGGCCCAAAACCCATGAATAAATTTCCATTTTAAAAAGCTAAAAAAACCAAAAAACCAAAAACGAGTTAAACCCAAAGTAGAAGAGAAGAAATCACTGTAATAAGATAAGAAATGGCTAAATGAGGATGCAATATCCTAAACAACATATTAACAAGTTGAATTAAAAATTAATGTTTAAGTAATGGTACTTTGGTCAAAGTTAAATCCAATTTATGTGAGAATTAGTCACTATTTTCTTTTCTTTTCCTTTCCCTCACCCCTTCCCTCCTTCTCTGTCTACTTATTGCATCCTCATTTATAAGTGAAGTATGTTTATAATTTCCCCTTTATTATAATATGTTTTTTCCAACTTTAATATCAGGTGTATCCAGATGAAGTCGAATGATTTTGAAGTATTTCTTCCTTTTTTATTGTCTATAAGATTTGGCATGATCTGTGTTTTGAAATTATCTTTTATTTTTATTTACAAATATTAGTTGTCTATTTTTTGAGACTTTGGAAACAAAATAATAAGAAGTTAACTGATGACTCCATACTGAACCTCACAGTCAAAGCATTCTATAATAGACATATTCTTATTTGACAATGTGAATGTTACTTTTTTGCATTATTATTACTATTGCTCAATATTTTGTTGCAGCAATCCTCTGATTTCTCTTCTGAATGTGTTTACTTTCATTCCTTCTTTACGAGGTTTTTGTTTCTAGTCCTTATCTCAAACGCTGTTATTGTTATTAAGTTTTAAGCCTTTTTAATTTTGTGAAGGCAAAAAGTAGAAACCAAATAAACACATTTATATGTAAAAAAAAAAAAGAAAGAAATGGCTAAACAATGCAGAAAACCTAAGTCAAGAACCTTTTTTTCTTCTTTCAACAAGTAATTAAATTTAATAGACCTTTCCTTAGATTGATTAACAGAAAGAGATACAAATTGCCAATATTTATTATAAAAGAGGGGACAGCTGTATGGATTCTATACGTATTTGAAAGGATAAAATTAAACATTATTGTTATTGATGTACTAACAATGGTAATACATTTGACAACATATATGAAATAGACAAATTTCTTGAAAGATACATATTACCAAAAATGACTTGAAAGGAAATATAAAATATAAAATCCCTATCTGGCATTACTGGTGAAATCCATTAAATATCTAAGGAATGAAAACATACCAGTTTTACACAAACCTTTTTGGAAAATAGGGAAGAGAAAACAGTTCAACCCATTTTACAAGTATTACCCTGACCCCATAAACCAGACAAGAACATGAGACCAATATCCCTTATGAACAAACAATTTGCAATTGCATCATCTCCGTAGGTGGCACTAAGCTGATGGAGAACAACCAGGGAATCATGAGTCAGCACCTCTTCCCACTTCCTGTCCCTCTTAACATCTCTTGTGATTACGCTGGGCCATCACTGTTATCTCTGGCCTCCCATGAGACCAGACTTCAAGGTCCTTCTCTGGATTCTGCCAATGAGTTGGAGGTGCTTACATGGGGCTTAATGTGTTGTCCACCCTTGACTTTCTACCTGGTCCTAGAGTTTCTTTCGTGTCTTGGGGTTTGAACAGAGAGGGAGGAAAAAAAAGAGTTCAATGAAGTTTTTATTCCCAGTAATTGATCCAGATAATAACTGATTTTAAAAGAGACTTTAAAAATAAGATGAAGAGGAAGGTGTTCACGGAGACAAAGGGGAAGTTGACCCCCTCAACTATAGTGTTTTGAAATACCATGAAAATGAAAATCAGAATTGAGGAGCAGGAGTTTATGTGGAGGGAAACCAACAAACAGCACACATTGTACGGTGGTCATGTCCACAGGTTGCTGGAAAATGAGGGAAATCAATGACACCATTTTGAAGGAAGAAGTTGGTCACAATCTGTATTGTGCTGTAATGAAGTTCCAACAACTTGATGGCTTAACATAGCACACATTTATTTTCTTACCATTCCAGAGTCAGAAACCCAAAACAGGTTTCCCTGGTCTAAAATGAAGGTGTCGGCAAGGTGCCTTCCTTCTGGTGCTCTAGGGAGGACCCATTTCCTCACCTTTTCTTGATGCTGAGCCTCCTTGTCTGGCCAGTGGCTCCTTCTTTTTTTTTTTTTTTTTTGAGACTGAATCTCACTGCATTGCCTGCGGTAGAGTGCTGTGGCATCACAGCTCATAGCAACCTCAAACTCCTGGGCTTAAGCAATTCTCTTGCCTTAGCCTCTCAAGTAGCTGGGACTACAGGCCCCTGCCAAAAAGCCCGGCTATTTTTTTTTTGTTGTTATTGTAGCTGTCATTGTTGTTAAGCAGTCCTGGGCCGGGTTCAAATCCACCAGCCCCAGTGTATGTGGCTGGCACCCTAACCCCTGATCTACGGGCATAGAGCCTTGGTGGCTGCTTCTATCTGTAGATGGCCAGCGGACCCTTCTCCTGCTGTGCCTTCTGACTGCTTCCATTGTCACATGCCCTCTTCTTGCCTCCTCTCATTCTAAGGACTGTTGGGATTACCACTGGGCCACCTGCATAATCCAGGATCATCTCCCCATCTCAAAATCCCCAATTTAATCACATCTACAAAGTCCGTTTTGCTATGAAGAAACCTATTCACAGGTTCCAGGGATTAGGATGTGGCTATCTTTAGGGGCCATTTCTGCCTTTCACACAATTCATTCCAGAATTTTCAATGAAAAGTGGGATTTAAAAAATTACAAATTAAGAGACATATACATGAAACTTTTTGTGTATGTGGATGAAAGAAAACATAGTATTTTGCCATATATGATGCATACTCACATTTTTGGCCCAAGCTTTCAGGAAAAAAAAAAATCTTATCTTTTAATTTTTTTTTTTTTTTTTGAGACCTCTCACTTTGTCACCTTTGGCAGAGTGCTGTGGTGTCATAGCTGACAGAAATCTCAAACTCTTAGGCACAAACGATCCTCTTGCCTCAGCCTCCCAAGTAGCTGGGATTAGAGGCATGCTCCACAACACCTGGCTAGTTTTTTTCTATTTTTAGTACTGGGGTCTTGTTCTTGCTTAGGCTGGTCTTGAACTCCTGAGCTCAGGCAATCCACCCACCTTGGCTTCCCAGAGTGCTAGGATTACAGGAGTGAGCCTTGTTTTAATTTTTTAATTCAAATTTTTATTTGTTTATATTTAGGTACTTATTTTTTGTACCATAAAGGGATTTTAGCATTTATTTTTTAAAGTGGTCCAAGAAACTTTGTGTAACACATAATTACAAAACATAAGAACAGATGCAAGATATTAGAAGTTTTATGTACTAGTAATAAATTTATGGCATTTATTTTCCCATTGTACAAGACCAAGAGCTCTTCATTACCGTCAATATCAGAAGTATTGTCCTTCTTAATTTTTCCATTACTGGTGTCTTCTGAAGGGTCACATTCCTCATCGCAGTCAATTTCATCATCCTCAGTTCTACCCATAGCATTGCTGATGCCACATTTTAAAAACAATTTCACAACCTTTTCCTTCTTGACCTTGTTCCATGATCTTAGGATCCAATCATGAACCTGGGTGATGGATGCTTTCTTGATTCTGCCTGTAGGTGTTAAATTATTATCAGCTGACCACATCCATGATGTCCACTCTTTCTTC